GGAAAGAGTTTCAATAATCAAAAAGCATTTCTTCTCAACTTTGCAAAGTTCACGATCATTCTGTTTTGTGTAGTGGTTAAGTGCATGGACTCTAATCTGTGAGAACCGGTTTTGATTCCCCACTCCTCCATTTGCACCTGGCTGGATGACCTTGGGCAAGCCGTGGTTCTGATAAGAGCTGTTCTTGAAAAAGAGCAGTTTCTGTCAGAGCTCTCTCAGCCCCACCTACCTCACAGGGTGTCTGTTGTGGGGAGGGGAAGGGAAAGGAGTTTGTAAGCCGCTCTGAGACACCTTCGGATAGTGAAGGGCGGGGTATAAATGCAACCTCTTCTCTCTTCTTCTTCTTCAACAAACCTCTTCAAGGGATGGGATCCTCTTAAGCCTGTGCTTCCCTGCCCTGTTAAAAGCAAAGGTGAAGTCACTTGCGGCCCTCAGGATCATGCACTACCTCCTTGCACTGTTTGTAAAAGGTAATGTCCACAATGGGAAATCCTATAATTATTTGAAATGTAGGATCTCTGAGTGTGAATACATAGATCTGTTGAGCAATCTCAGTGGATGCTGGCCAGAAAGATACAGTAAATTCCTATCATATTCATTAAAAATGAAATGTGTATGTTATTATGGTAACAGGCCATCTTGAAGGTTCCACAGATTAATTCTTGTTCAATCTACTATTGTGGATTTTCATCTAAAAATTAGTGCCAGTGGCTAGACACAGCCACTACAATACTTTCTTGGTTCAGAGGAAAACAGTTATTTAGGCTAATAACAGAATCTACTACAGTTGTTTTATATCAGTACAGCTGCAATGTATTCATTCTCTGACTGACTGCAAGTATAAAATGCTACTGGCCTTGTGTAGACTGGAAAAGAGAGGCTCAGATGCGTGGGGCTAGTTCACACGCACATCTGTCTTTTAATGACTGCACCATCAAGAGATCACTTGCCTGTGACAATAAGCCATCACAAACTAACCCTAGTAGAGGCAGAATTCTCATATCACTTCACATAAAGCTTTTCAATGGTATCAATTTGAACGTTCAGCTATGAGTCAAAGCATATACCTGCAGATGTGAATATTTAGGCCCATTTTCTGATGCAATTCCTGGAGTGGACTTAGATTATGATACAGTGTGTTCTCCCATATCTCAGAAAGGGCTAGGCTGTGATACTGATCAAAGTAAGTATCACTCCCAGAACAGAAAAGCTGAACTCCCTGATTAGCCCCACCCACTTAAGACTGACACAAAACTCTCAAGAGTTTGACAGGAGACCTAGGCTGTAAGTTTACAGAAGGCAGAAGACATGTAAGTAATAAATAAAATTTGGGTGTCCGGTTCCTGTTTGTTTAAGGCAAGAATAATCTTTGAGAGAAAACTGCAAATATTATATTTTTAATTAAAACATCGTAAGTACAGTTTTATAGAAGTCCTGAGGCTTAAAAAGACCAGACTAACTTCAGACAAACATGGCTACCCACATGAATCTATCTTAAAAAGACCAGCTTTTAAATGAAATCCTAATATGTTAACACCTGCATTTCTAATTAATTAAACTTAGTCATGACCATCCATCAAATACTGAGTTGCTTTTCTACAAAGGAGAATTTTGAGGGGGAAATACCCAATTCACGAGGTTAAATATTAGAAATGATATAGTGTCTTGTGTATTGTTGTTGGCTTCCTACTGGACTCAGCAGGACTAACCAGTTATCAGAGGCACTCCAGAATATGTCATCCTGTGCTTCACAAGGTTCATCCACAAAGTCCATACAGTTGTTTTTAAGCACTACGCTAATTTGAGCTCTGCAACTGCGTCCACTTCTTCAAACCGTAAATATTTATGACTCTACTGACCAAACAACACAGACATTTGTTTGCCATACAGGGAAACACAACTTGTTTCTGATATTCCCAGCCTTTTCCTTCTGGTAAGTTCTAGATCAGGGGCCCCAATATGGTGCCCCTGGGTGCCATAGCACCTGCTGACACCTTTTCTGCCATCCCCCAAGCGTTTTAGAAAGTGGGAGGGGCCAGATCAGGCTTTCCCCCAGCAAGGCTTCTGATTGGCTGTGCAGATTTTTTAAACTGTTGCTTTGGCTGCAGCTACCACTACAGTACAAGGATCTTCACAGATGACTGAAGGTAAGCTGTGGCAGCCATTTTGTGGCTGTGCCCACCCCTTGTGTCAGAATTCAAAAGGTGCCCATAAGCTCAAAAAGGCTGAGGACTACTGTTCTAGACCAAGTAGTACTTACTTGAAAGCAAGGGTCATTTGATGAATGGGATTTACTACTGCCTCACTGTATGGAGGATTGCAGTCTTAACCTTCAGCTAAGTAATCATGTGTACACAGAGCACCAAACAGAAATCTCTGTTGTCTCCAAGCAGGAAATTTGAAGGTTTTAAAATGGGTCTTGCTTTTCTTAGTGATTTAAAGCATTAACTGAAAAACTGAAAAATATATTGACAAAATAAGCCCAGCTTCACAGAGAGCAAAAGGAACACATGCTGCTCCGTCTAATTAATCACAGGTGTTCCCACTGGCCCAAGTACTCCCCATATCTTTCAGAGACATCCCTTAATAGTACATGTAGTATGCAGTTCCTCAACCCCACGAAGCTTGTGATTGGGCCTTGAAATAATCCTTGCCACTTTGCCTCCCCTCTCTCGCACAGAGCAGCTGACTGTCTTTGCAACAATGGTTGAGGAACGGTTGAGGAAATTCTGTTTCACTGTCTCTGAAGAAGTGTGCTTGCACAAAATTTTGGTGGTCTTAAGGTGCCACTGGACTCAAATTTTGTTTTGCAAAAACACGTTCAGCAGCAGCAGCAGCAGCAGCAGCAGCTGCTAGTGGGGAGCTGAGAACAGAGTGGTGTTTCCTTCAAGCAAGAGGCTTCCTGGACGCAGCACAACAAAAGTCTCCAGTACAGACATCTCCTTTTAAAGAAACTGCTGTTAACGAGCTGGCTCAAAAGTTTCCCGATTCCCCCCCCCCCTCCAACTAACTTTTCTGCGGCTCTCTGAGCTCTGTGATGTCATCCAGCCTCCCTCTTGCTTGCCCTCCCTCCTTCACCTACCCCACCCCTTCTTTGGGAACAGTGTAGCCAAATAAGGAGATCAGAACAAGAGCTGCTAGCCAAAATGAAGGGGAGGGATGGGGGGAAAGGCTGCTGTCCGCAAATGGCTCCTAGCACACTCTTATTCATAGTCCCCCCCCTTCCTCCACACACACACACACACACACACACACACACACACACACACGGAGTAAGAGGTGCCCAAAGATCAGACTGCAAGGGAACTTTCAGGATGCACAGGATATATGAGGAAGCTGAAAAGCACATATAAAAATGTGTACAGAAGACACTGTGAACATAGGAACGGAGGGTCATTTACATAACCCGGGATATAAATGTGGGTAGCACTGTTGTTGTTTGCTGAACATCAGCCAAAGAGACAGAGACTCCTCCGTACCATTACTGAAACTCAGCATCCAATTGCTACCCATAAGAGACAGCAGTTTCTCAAGATTCCCCCCAAACTCATACAACATGAACAGCAGAACAGAAAGGAGTCCTCCTTAAGCCGTCAAATCTGAGGGCCTCCTCACACATTTTTCCACAGCTGATCTGTCTCTCAGGAAAATGTACACTTAGTATTATTTGAATGATTTAAGCACCTGCATGAAAACCAGACACTGGTACCACAATATGAGAGAATGCATTCTGTGATGAGAAAGAGTAATATGTGAAATGTCTGTCAACCAGATGTTCTAGAGTTTTCAAAACCTCTGCTGTGTTAACCAAGGACCAGTGCTATTTAGGGAAGTAAGGATGTACACAACAGTATAATGATTTATACTTGCAGTGGTGCTACAACAACTGTCTTTCACTTCCATGAACACCTTGTTATCCATCCCAAATAAGCA